GACAGTCAACTTTCTCTGTGGTTTTTCCCTGCACATATTCCCTTCCTCACAAACCATGGCACCTTCTCAAGCATGTCTGAATGGAAAGAAAAATGCCTTTGGGGGTCAAATGACCTTGGAGTCTAGTGACCTTGATTCATATTTGGTTTCTCCCACTGCAGGATCCTATCTGCGTGATCTTGACCCAGTTACTTTAAGCTCTCTGTATCTCACTTCAGTAATCGATGAGGTGGGAATACTTGCCTCACAGCTGATTAAGTAACAGCATGTGCTTTGACCCACACTGAGAATGGTACCTGGCATATCCCAAGTCCCCAATGACTATTAAAGCTGCATCTCTTTTATTGTACTTACCTCCTCTTGCAATTGCTTATGGACTTACGTTATCTCTTAATGAATTACACGTTATTGAAGTGCAGACATCATTTTAACCCTTCTCTTTATAGCTTACAAAACACGTGGCACATAGTAGGGACATAATAAATCTGTTGGCTAAATGATATAAATGAAAGGCTTTCTAGAGGAAAGAAACCATGGAGCATCTCAAACATTTCATTATTGTTGTATGTCCAAAAGGATCCATTTCACTCTGGTGAAACAGAATCTACTATTTCGGTGCAGAACCTATCCACTAAATTGCTTTGACATTCTTTCTGGAAGAAAAGCTCCAGGAGCTCCCAGTGAATGTGTGTGCGAAGGGAGCGAGCCCTCAGCACCGAGGGCTGAGAAGCAGTGCTCCTGGGTGGCTCTTACATTTAATCAAGGAAAAATATTAAAGGACCTATAATTTTCCCTTTATTACTCTCTGTTCTGTCACAGGGGCCTCTATAAAAAATAGCAAGTGCTAATTTGCTGCATTACTTTACAACTTCCCTTTGGAAAAAGGAAGGCCGCATTAGATGCTACTTAGTTACATGTTTTCATTAATTTTTATTTCTTCATCAACAAACATTTGTGAGGTACCCACTAAAGGCCAGGTACTGCTAACACTAGGGGTACAGTAGAGAACACATAGTCAAAAGTTCCTTCCCAAAGCGTATATGGAACTGGCGAGAGAAATAATAATATAGGTAAGTAAAATATGTAGTGTGA